GAGTGTAGAAAAATTTTACCATTTTTGAACAAAAAAGAATCATTGAAATCGGACACCGTGTTGAGATTGAGAACCTCTCCTTTTTTAAAGTCTGATAAAAACAAATTTATAAATATCGTCAATCCCCAAATGAACGCCAGTAACATTTATGACAGAACTGACAAGTCAGTTGACGTAAACGTAACTAAATCAGGCACTTTAGATTCGTTTTGTGATGTTAATAGATCACGAGGTACTGTTAAAAACCGTGTATAACATTACTTTCTTGTATTTATTTCAGGCGAGCCTAATTTACTATTGGTTATTTGGAAGCAGCTTGATGGTTTCCATCCATAGTTAAAACGCAATGTCCTATTCCCAAAAATTTTAAATGGGTTTAATACTGGCGTATTGTTGAGTTGGGTCCTTGCTCCTCTGAAAAAGAGAAGGCGAGTCGCGCGACCCCCCTTGGCGTAGTGACAGGCCCCCCTGCTGACTTTTTAACCGAAACACTATTTTCTAATATTGTCATCGCTCGGACCATTGTCGTTACTTAATGTTCCTTTAAATACTGTCAGAGACGATAAAAATACCTACTTTGGACTGCCTGCTTCTCTTTATGCTTTTTTTAAAACTTTAATTAGTTTATTTTAGACTAAAGAGGCTCCGGTTATTTTTTTTCTTCGCTTGTTTTGGCACGAGGTGACTTTTTTGGATAATAAAGAACTCGTAGTGTGAACAAATTATGGTAGAGTTTTTGGATTTATTTTTATAGCATTCACATATGAATTTGCATAATAATAAATAAATGTATAAATTAATAAATAAAAATTATTTATTTTTATATATTTAAAGGTATTTGAAGATCTATAGTGTCACGATTCGTATAAATTCATATTTTTCCTAATTTTAATTAATTATTTAAATAACATCCTGTACATAAAACTTTGTTTAATTATGTCAACAATTTGTTTTAAATAGCAATAATGTGCAAGGTTGGTTATTTAATAATTATTAAACATTAGTTTTAATAACAAAAAACTATGAGAAAGTTATAAAGGTAATGTCGAGGGGATGCACGAGGCTTTTTTCCACAGGGAACGGATCCTCCCTATAGGAGATCCCCCTTGTAGGAGATTCCCTGTAGCAGCTTCAGGTCATAATCTTTATAGTTTAAATTAAAAGTCGTTTTTTAGTATTTCAAATAATTACATTTTTAAATAGTTTGTTAAGGGTTGTGACATGTGCCCCAAAGATTAGCGGAGTTGGTGTGTAAGTATTTTGTTGTCTTTTATATTATATTGAGCCTATAGTTGTGTATGTCGAGTTGAGACATATTTTATATAATCGTTGTAATTATAATAATATATTTGTTTTGAGAAAACATTGTGTTTCCTTCAGCCCTTTTACAGAGACGTGTCAGGTTCTAAAATCAAGAATAGAACCCTTATACAGTTAAGGGCTACGAAGCCAAGTTTAAGGCTAAATAGTGTTAATGTGATTGAGTCCCAAATTCATATATTTTGTTATATAACCCCCGAGACATAGATAGTCCCACAATTATTTAAAACACGTAAATCGTGACTTTTTTTATAAAATCACGCATAACGTGACAATAGTCTCCACCAACCCTAAATTGTTTATCACTAGCGATCCGTGTTATATTTTCCTGAGGATTCTTCTTAAATTACAATTTTTTTGGAAAATCACTTGAAACTTGCTTATTTTTTTGTTATAAGGTAATTACTACATTTTTAATTTCATGTAAAATTCTAGGTTTTTCTATTTCCAGTGAAGAATCCACTACTTCTATAAATATCATTCAATCTGCTACATAATGACTGACCTTCCTACTTTTATGTACATTAATATTACTCGTTTTGATTAATCACGGACGATTACTAACCTTTTGACACAACTTTAACATTTTAATATAGGACGCATATTTTTTAATAACTTCTTATTTCAACATTCATCGTGGTTTACTTTAAAGTAGGTTAGGTTGAAAATGATTGAAGTAACCTCATCGCCATCCACTAATACCCAGAATCTTTTGTAACTCATGAGTGACTTTAGAGTAAGGCAGAAGGATTTGTGACGGAGTCAAAAAATCCGGAGTCCGGACCTGTATGTGTCATATCCTTTCTCTACTATCTCTATGGTGTTTTGTCTCTATTATAGATCAATGAAAAGATGGCGTATTTCTTACTGTAAACAAATTTCAATTTTTTATCAGTACTTATCAACATGAGAAAGATGTCATGTCATCAAAATTTCCAGTGATTCAAAATTATTTGTAAATGTCTTTCTTTCCATTTATTAGAAATTTAGTAGTGAAAAATGCAACAAATACGCGATTATTACCAATTTCCGCAAGGAACTTATCAAGAATAAATGGAAAAAGTTCAAATTTAGCAAGAGGAGCAACTACCCCATACATTCTACCTGGTTTAGTTAAACAGTTTATCCAGGAACCCTTAAAAGTAAATCCCAATCCTTATGGACTGCCAGGTTTAATAAAGGAATTTCCAGAAAATCCTGTATGGTTTCCCGAAAGACTTGGATTTGGCGAACCCCTTGCATTAAGTTGCGGAAAATGCAAAAAGAAAAAACGAAAGTACAAATGTAAGTACAAGAAGTACAAAAAGAAATACAAAAAGTACAAGAAGAAGTACAAGAAATGCAAATGTGCGAAGAAGAAATGCAAGAAGAAGCGTAAGAAGTGTAAAAAGAAGCGTAAGAAGTGCAAAAAGAAGAGAAAGAAGTGTAAAAAGCAAAAAAAGAAGTGTAAACGAAAGCTAAAGAAGAAATGTGGTGAAGCTGAACCGCCTGGTGGTTCGAAGATACTATTGAGTGCTGATGATCCTTTTCCACCTAAAAAACTTGACTAATCTCGATAATCAGTAAATTTAACATTTATTATCTCTGATACTACCATAGATTAGATAGAAACTTATTGGAATCAGAGTTGCTTATTAACTTCTGAGAACTTCATCAACAAATCATGGGTTTTTAGTTTTCTTTGCAATATCTCAAATGTTAAAAGGAATTTGTATTGTAAAATTTTACAGAATCAGGGATATTGTTTAAAATTATCAGTTTATATTAATATATTTTACAAATAAAATTTTAAAAAATACATAGTTTTGTTAGTTTGATTCAGTCTCTTTAATACTTGAAATGGTAAAGGTAAAGGTCCATTTGGACATTGAGCTTTTTATTTTCAAGTTACTAAAATATTGGAATGTATTTAGTTTAAAACATTATACACTAACAAATATTGACGTTGGTTCCTACTATAATTACATTGGTATCCTGCTGCTTATTCTTATTAGGAAGTTATAAAAATTATTTTTAAAAATTGACTTCAAATCGTTCAGATGCCACTACAAATTAAGTTTGCTGATTTTATCATAGATCCCATCATCAGATCTTAATGTATATAGAACCACCCCTGAGGTACCCCCTTTCGAACAAAAAAAAAGAATTATAAAAATCGGACAACGTGGTAAAGAATTATCTCTGAATAAATATTTAAACAAAATCACAGCATCATTATTGTTAAATACTTCTTCAGTTTTTGCGATTTACTTGCAGATTTTTGTATTTTTCTAAGTCATTATATATTTTTATATCAGTTGTGTGGAATGTGTAGTGAGACTGCTACAATTGCCCTCAAACAGGGGTATGGATGGAGTATAGAAGAAAGAGTGTAGATGATTTTCTCAAAAAGCGTCCACCAATAAGCAGAAAGCATAAGCATAAGCAGAACGTTGCGATGCCTAATAGGTAATATTGCATATAGCACGATACACAGACTGACTGTATGTTCCTGCGCATGCAGCTGACTGCCAGTGACGTCACGTGGGACAGAATTATAAGCATTAAATTAATTGAAGATAGTGTTTAAAATTCGATATTTTGCCAATTTAAGAATTTATGCAGTTACTTAAGCTTTATTGGTTATTTTGTAATATATTCGTTTACAAATATGAAGGTTCAAGGTAAATAATACTAATAAAAATATTAATTTTTCTCATAAAACATAGGTATTTTGTGATAAAATCCATAATCTGGCCATAAGATAAGTAAAAGATAATAGACTAAAAATACAAGTTTGACTCAAATTTGTTCTGGACGTAGTAGTTCTCTTGCAATCTCTTTTTTTATTATGTGAAATAAAAATAAGTGTGCAGAAACAAATTATTTATTTACAAAAAGTAAGTACACAAAAACATTACTTTTTATTTGATAAATTTAAACATTTTTTGTCAAGATTACTTTGAAAATACTCAAAACCAATTTTTCTTATTCTTATATTATGTTCGTGTCCTGCTCATACATGGCATTACTTCGAAAGGACCGTTGTATTGGGACAGGAAACTACTGTTTTATCTGCTAAAATTTTTCAATACCGATTTATTTTCTTGGCTTAATGAGGCCCGTGCACCTGGTGGAATTCAGTTTCCTTTTCTTGCGTCTATATTTAAGAGAAAACTCATAACTACTTTCCTCATAATGGATAGGGCAATTTCAATTAAGTTTTTCCTTTCTTCAATAAGAATTGACCCATATTTTGTGGCATTCGAAAGTATCTCCACTGCGCAGCCCGGCATTTTGAACATTAATTTAGTTATTCCCTGTTATATATTGGAAAATATAGTCACTACTAACACAAAAACATATAAATTATTTAATTATTTTACACTACTTAATCGAAAAGTGTCAAAATAATTTGAAAGATCGACCCGCATATGAAGACTAGAATCTTCATAGTTCCGCATTACGTCATGCGCGGTTTGGACGAATTTTGAATCGAAAGCCAGCATACCTTTAGTATGCGTATCCTGGCATATAGAGACATTAGATATACTTGCCGGCCTACTAATTTATTTAAAATCATGTCAACGTAATTTTGAAAGGCTGCTTAGTAACATAAAACTAACAAACAATTATTATTTTTTTTTTATTCAGTGTCAAAATTCCAGTAATTTAAAATTCATGTAATTAAATGTAAGTAAATGTCTCTATTACCGTTTTTTCGCTCTTTGGCTTTAAAAAATACCACAAATTCCAAGTTACTACCAGTCGCTGTAAGGAATATATCCAAACAGATAACCAAACTTGCAGTAAATGCATCCAAAAACCAATATGTCCTACCAGGCGCCTTAACTCAGATACCACAAGAACCTATTAAAGCCGATACCCCAGATTATCAACTACCTGGTTTAGTGAAAGAGTCTCCAGATAACCCATTATGGTGTCCAACGTTGCCCGGAAGTGCCGAGCCTATTTTACTAGATGGCTGCGGTAAATCTAAGAGAAAGAAGAAGTGCAAGAAGCGTAAGAGGAAGTACAAGTGCATCAAGAAGAAATGTAAACGTCTAAAGAAGAAGTACAAGAAATGCAAGAAGAAGAAGAAGTGCCTCAAAAAGAAAGTCAAGAAATGTAAATGTAAGTCGGTGGGACTCGGAAACCTCTTCAAGATATTTTAAGAACAACTACAGATTTCATCAGTAAAAAGAAGCATGCATGATTTACAAGCATTTCAAGGTAATCACCATACAGGTAAGAGAGATTTTAAAATTTAAATGTCATTCTCTATATGCATCTTCTTAGTATAAGGATTTTTTAGCTCAATTCTTCAATTATTTTTCTTCCAACATAGTTTACTATTTCTCTTCCGCACAGTATACAGCTGGCAATTTAAATGATATTTTGAGTAGATTCTTCAATTTTTAAGCATTTTTTTGTCCTCCAAATATTTTTACTACTTATTTCTTTTATTTAATTACTTTTAGGCAAATATTGGGAAGACGCCTTTTTCTTATTAACCCAATTTTTTTACAAAAGTTACGTTATTAATAAAAAAGGGCGCCTTTCCAATATTTTCCCATGGTTATGGTTTATGGTTATAACTGCTAAATAATAGACCATTAAGTTAATATTTTTTTTTCGTCTGGGTAGCTATACTTAAATTCAAAGGAGTAAAAAAATTTCTTAATTTGTATTTGCCTTATTCTTGTAACTTTTTACTCCCTCTGATCAACAAAAGATAGCTTGGGGTCATTTATGTAAAGTCTTTTCCAGTTCTTTATTATTGATAACCTAATTCATTTGTTTGAGGACATTCTCTTGTTGTTTACCCCATATATCATACAAAAACATTTCTATAGTTTGATAATAATTATATCAGGCAAGTTAATATTAACCCAAGATTCCACATTTTACAAAATGCCCTTTGGACAGACCTCCCTCTCAGATGATTTTTCCTGTCTTGAGCTATTTACAGTTTCGTTTGGTCAAAAAAATGCACCCTATCTTGCATGTAGAGTGTTGAAAGAGATTGCATAAAATTGGGATTTTTGTGTCAATTTCATCATCCATTTTGTTTGGACTAATCCTGTCAGTTGTTGACATTATTTTTCTATTGGTCATAGAGTAAACTACTTTGTTACAGTTAAATTAATTTGTTCACACTGTATACAAAAACAAAATGTCAATCCATGGCAACGTAATTCAAACATCAATAGTTTTGTTTAAATCTTGCTGACAACATTGTCACAAATTTTCTTTTATCAAAATTCAATGTAAATGTCGTTAATTTCTCCTTTTTTTAGATCATTAATAACAAAAAATGTAACAAATTCGAAGTTTTTTCCACTGGCTGTAAGAAATGTGTCGAGCAGGTTTATTCAAGACTCCGCAAGAGGAATAACCACACCAAGTGTGTTACCTGGATTGGTGCAACAAATCGTTCAAGAACCTTTTAAAGTAAATCCAAATCCCTATGGACTACCAGGTGCATCTACTACAATCTCAGAACTTCCCTTATGGTGCCCCCCATCATCCGTAAACGGTGGTGGTGATCAGCCTATTTTATTAGATGGTTGTGGTGGTAGTAAAAGTAAGTACAAAAGAAAGTATAAGAAATGCAAATGTAAATTGAAGAAGTGCAAAAAGAAGCGAAAGAAGTGTAAAAAGAAGCGAAAGAAGTTGAAGAAGAAGAGGAAGAAGCTTAAGAAGAAGAGGAAGAAGTGCAAAAAGAAGTTGAAGAGGTGCAAACGGAAGTTGAAGAAATATAAATGTAAATCTCGGGGAGGATTAGCTGGCTTTTTTAAATGAAATCTAAATAAGGTTGTATTGTGCAAAAATTATGCAAAGCCACTGTACTAAAAAATAAATTTGTGCTTTGGATTTGATGTTTTCTTTTTAAAAAATTTAAATATTTAGTGATGAAATATACAGACAAGTGAGTAATAGTTAATATTTTTTTGAATAGTGATTAGATCTTAAATTAAGTAGTGTAAATTTATTTTAGCATGAATTTGGTATTAATGAGGTACGGTAAGTAAATTCATTTAGATTTTTTTTAATTTCTTACAAATAGAATAAATAATTTGCTTGGTTTAATAATTGTTTCCAAGTTTATTTATGACACATGATTTCTTTGAGTTTGTCATTTTTTTCCTTTTCAACGTTTTATTTTCTGAAAAGAGTTACAAGAAAACCGACAATTCCGAAGCAGAAGCGGATGATTAAAACGCACCTATTAAAAATATTGCGCTAAGATGTAGGCAACACGTAATAAGGGTTCAAAATGCCTTATTACGTGTTGCCTACATTTTGGCGCAATACTTTTAATATTTTGCTTGCTGCTGTCAGTGTCAGTGAATATTATTTTTTGAGTCACAGTTTATTGCTAAAGAATCAGTTAGCTCACTCGGACCAGTTGAAAGTTCCAAAATAACATACACTTTAGGGATACAAATTCAGAATGTGCAGAAGACTGTTGTTTTATTATAGGCGGTTGTCATATATTGTATTATCCGAGTTTCGCAGTGTATAAACTAGAACACTGAGATCAAGTGCCGACGCAGAGTGAGCGATCTGATTCTTTAGCTATAAACTGTGGCATAGGAATCAAAATGGCCGCGCCCTACGTTGGGCGTGTCGGACCTCTCTCTTGCACCGTATAGTAATCAAAGTATGTTGCAACGCGTAATAAGTCTTCAAAATGGCGGAGCTTTCTATCTCCTTTTAAAAGGCATTCAGAAAGCTGCGCAGTGCGACCATTCTCAGTATAGTAAGAAAAAATCGAAGTATAGAAGTATGTGCCTACATGTAACTTTACTCAGAGGTGAAAAGATCGACCCTTAGCAGTTTTGATTGTGGCTTAAGTGTTAGAAACCTGAATCTAGACAGGCTTTCCACATACTTTGATTTTAGGCTTTCACACTGACACAGGACGTGTATATATCTAGTCTTCATAGACGTGTATTAATATTTTATCTTCTTCTTTACAGAACCTATACAATGTTGCTTCTTCTGCTAGGTCGATGACACTCATGTGCCTTCCTGCAAGAAGATTTACTGCTGTCTTACTGATTTGTCGTTTTTAATCTAGTAGATCTTTCACCAGTCGTGATTTGATTTCTAGTGAGAGAAATACGTTTATAGATGCTTGGCTTGGCAAAATAGATGACAATAGTTTTCCATACAGGGGGTGGATTCGGTGGGTGGCTCAGTATTCAAAGTCTAGACTTGAAAAACCAAGAATCATCGGTTCGAATCCCTCCATTGGCCAGGATTTTTCTTAAACATAACTGATCCATAAGTAGGATTCCCCATTTCGCCCATTCATTGAATTAACAATGGTGTTCATGATGTAGCGCTGGGAAATTGTAACAAAGCCTGCACGAAACAAACATTAATTAAAATATAACTCAACATGAAACAGGCATATTAGGTAAATAACTGAGCTATAAAATAAACAAATTCTGCCTTGTTCTTAAATCGATTAGTACTCTCGTCCGGCCCTGCAATCTACTGAAAACTTCTCGATAGCATCTTAAGTGAAATCATGAAAAACTTAATAGCCCGAAATTCGATACTGATTTATCTGAAAGAGAAACAGTATAACTATCGGGATTCGTGAGTGTTACGGGTATGACATTCTTTTATTTGGACAGGTAACATCCTTGTTAAGCCGAAAACAAAAAACATGAACCTGCGCGCGTGTGGTCGTCGTGGAGAATTTTTCTTTTCTGTAACCCGAGCATCTAGACTGTTGAGTTAAAACTGTGTCAGTCTTACTTTATCTGTTTCGATTACGTAATAAATTTATTTTGCAATCGCCAAAAGTGCCCAATAAAAATTCCTTCAATTAACAAGTTTGCGCGTTAAATAAAACTAATAAATCTTTATATTTTTTATCCTAACCTCCGTAGTATTGCTTGGACGGTAAGTCCAGAGAGGCCTTTAAAATTCTTCTTTTAAATCTAATTTTCATCAAATCTAAAGGTACATTTAGATCTGACATTTATTGCATGAGATTTATGTCTGACAGTTGTTTAGTCCAGTGTAAACACAAAAAAATTTCTCTCTTACATATATTTTTGAGTGTTTACACTGGACTAAATAACTGTCAGACATAAATATCATGCAATAAATGTCAGACGTAAACGTACCTTTAGCATTTGTTTTTAATGATAACATCCTGAGATTTTACCAAATTTAAATTTCACAAAAATTGCTCATCAACAATGTTAGTTTCATCACTCCAATGAAATATTAAGTGAGAAACGAGCATTCCATTTCTTAGGTAGTCGAAATTCCATAGTGAAATAAACATATCCAATTTTAAAAGCGAGATTTTTCGTTGTTGTCGGGTTAGTTAGACTAATTGATTGTTGACACACTGGCATTGTGAAAAAACAGGATTTTAGACGCGTCACTGACCGCAGCATCAGTAACATAAAAGTGTTTAGCAATAAATCAGCGACTGGGAGTCATACGTGTAGAAATCTGTGGAATTTCCAAAAAAAATATAAAAACTATCTTGGATTTATAAAGGATCGAAATTTTATTAAGGTTACATATTTTATTCGGAACTGTTTTATAGTTTCTAGAAAATCGGAAAGGCTTTATGATTCAAACGATTATAATGTAGGGAAAGTTTGATGTGCGGGTGACAAATTGAAAACGGTCAGCATTTAATATTTCTTTGACTGATGACACTGAATATTAGTACAGAGAGGAGAGTAAACAATTTTTTGTCGCCTTGATATCGCATGAAAGATTCTAATTAGAGAGAAATAGATTAATATCTCTATCTCTATTTTTATTTTTCCAGTTATTTTTAGACATTTTTTAAGTTTTTACTTAAATTCGTTCAAGTATGGTAGTGTTAAAAGTGACTGAAGCGAGCGTATATGAGATCTGTAAAAAGTGAGTAATAAATTTGGGTCTACACCCCATTTAGAACAGGTAACTGTTCGAAGTAAATTCATACCAGAAACCAAGAGATACCAACGTCCGACTAGAACAGAAACCCAGAGATACCAACGTCTGACCAGAACAGAAACCCAGAGATACCAACGCCCGACCAAAACAGAAACCCAGAGATACCAACGCCCGATCAGAACAGAAACCCAGAGATACCAACGCCCGATCAGAACAGAAACCCAGAGATACCAACGCCCGACCAGAACAGAAACCCAGAGATACCAACGCCCGACCAGAACAGAAACCCAGAGATACCAACGCCCGGCCAGAACACAAACCCAGAGATACTAACGCCCGACCAGAACAGAAACCTAGAGATACTAACGCCCGATCAGAACAGAAACCCGGAGATACCAACGACCGACCAGAACAGAAACCCTAGAGATACCAACGCCCGACCAGAACAGAAACGCAAAGATACCAACGCCCGATCAGAACAGAAACCCTAGAGATACCAACGCCCGACCAGGACAGAAACCCAGAGATATCAACGCTTGAGAGAGAAAGAGAGAAATATATTAATATCTCTATCTCTATATTTATTTTTCCAGTTATTTTTAGACAATTTTTTAAGTTTTTACTTAAATTCGTTTAAGTATGGTGGTGTTAAAAGTTACTTTGATTTGTAGGGTTTATTTTATACTAGGAAAAGACTTGTGTTTTATGTGATTTTAAATATAGGGTGAGTCAGGAGGAGCGCACCAAACTCTAGAAGGATATTATACACGTGAAAATAATGTAAAAAACTCATACGTTCTCATCCGATTTTCATTTCGTAGACGAAGCAGAAAATGTTTAGAAGTCAATGGCGGTATTTTTGAACATTTATTAAAAGAACGCTATGATTAAGAAAATTTTTATGTGTAAATTTGTTTATTCGTTAATATGCTATAACTTGAAAACAAATGAAAATCAGATAAGAACATATGAGTTTTTTACATTATTTTCACGTGTATAATATACTCCTAGAGTTTGGTGCGCTCCTCCCGACTCACCCTATATAAAAGAGGAAGTGAGGTTACGTTTCACTCGTTAATATTATTTCTTACCGAAGAACATGGGCGTCGTTTTAGGAGAAAAAAGGAAAATAAAATATGCACATTAAAAAAAATAAAATTATTATTAGTGTTCTAAAATACGAATTAAAAAAAACTTATGGTTAGAGGCACTTAAATGGACTGAAATGTTAGAAGTTGAAAGAATATATTACATTTGTTCAATGCACTTTTTAGAAGACGGCTTTGCTGCAACAAATATATTTATAAGTTTGTATGTTTCTAAATAATATCAAGCACTTTTAAAAATTGTATCTTTACTTTTTAGGAACTTTGTATTACACAAAGTAGAAAAAAAGAGTAGTGGTGAACCTATGTCACCTAAAAAAAAATAGAAGATTTATACAGGGGTAGCCTATCTGTCAATATATTATCTAAGTGAAAATTTGGCAAAACATCAATTTACATAAGAATAACTGTTGAGATATTTGTGTTTGTATTACATTCAACCATAGGCGCAGGAACTCGGCTTCTATGTGGGAAATAAGGGCTATCAACTTCTCCCCCTTCCCCACCCTCCACACCTTACTCAAAGGCCAATTTAAAGCGTTGATTTTATGAAACTTTTCTTGAAAAAAAAGGTATTGTCAAAAGTCCAATTGCTGGATAGGCTGGAGGCTCCCACCTAAATCAGGATATCTACCAACCCTATATGCTCGGTGCAGCCATCACTGGTATTCAGTGGTGCTGCGGTGCAGGGTGACGATTTACCGTACCATTTAAAAAAAAAGTGCATTCGTCTGAAAAACACGTTGAAAAGAAATTGCTTTTCATTTATTGCCCGTTCAGTCATAATTTCACAAAATTGTAATCGCCTACCAAAATCGTTTTCGTTAAGTTCTTTTAACAGATGTATTTTGTAGGAATGAAGCTTGTGTTTTCTCAATATCTTCTGAATATTACTTCATTTAATACCAGATGTTATCGCTAACTGTCTTGTACTCAATGAGGGTTCTTGAACAACATGTCCTTAAATCGCCACCTCTGTAGCTTCATTTACTGCAGCATTTTTCATTTAACGTAATTTTTTAGCTACTGACCCCGTTTCCCAAAACTTTTGGACTAACTCCAAAATATACTTTCGATGGACTTGTCGATTTTGATGTTGATTATTAAACAGTTGAGCAGATTTATTAGTACATTTATTGAACGCAAAAAAGTGAAATTATTTGCACCCTCTCAGCAATTGAGTAAACTATTATCACTGATATGTCACTTTTATGCCAACTCTACAATGAAATAAACTAAACCTTACTACTTTACGACGACCAAAGAATGTCATCTGATAATTGAAATAATTGAAAGCAACAGGAATAAAACTAGAATTGTTACAAAGATTCGTATGAATTACATAGATAGTAGCGAGTACAACTTGGGGATTATTATCTAGATAAAAAATACCTTTAAAATTAGATATCATTCGATCCATCTTTCCTTTTAAGATTTTAATGTTGAGTCCTTAATACTATGCTTTAAGTGTGAGTCTTATCCCCTATAGGGGTTTCCCCTATTACTGTACAGTTAATATTTTAAGAAGTTACTTTTTTCTCAGAGTAAAATTATCGAAGCAAATTCATTGTATATAAAAATGTTACCAAAGTCCCTGATAAATATTGATATGTGTTTGGGATACAGCGGTCAAACTAGCACATAAAAACCATTCAAAATGTCATAAGTAATGGGCTCATGATTCTTCGAAAATAATAAAAAAGTCATTAAAACCTACTTCGTCCCTGTGTCAATCAAGAACGAACTCGTTTTGGGTTGGGCGAATTCAGGAAGAAACACCGGCTCGTGACAGACCCCCTCTACTCCTTCTTCTCCTCCACCGCATCATTCTCTCCTCTTCTTTCTTCTTCGGTTTTTGGAAGCAGAGCGGCTTTTGTGACGGGACACAAGCCATGATTGACGCATTTTTTGTTCATTTAACATTGTTACCCGGTCCAAAGGTTCATTAGATCCGCTATAAGGTTCGCAGTAGGGGGTAACCCAAGCTTTTACCCCATTATAATCATACCGCTTACCTTAACCATGTGGAGGTGTTACAATATCACTAACTCAAGTTTTGACGGGTTCGGTTATAATTAAAAATAATTTAGTTGAACTAACAACGAACAAAGGAATTATTAAAAATATTGTTTTCGGTTTGGGTATTTTTTTTAGTTAAGTTGATATATACCGTTTGGTGAGTAAAATAAAGGAATTTTGGTTAAAGTAGTTGTTTTATTGTATGCAGTGGTTGGTATTAGAGCAGAGAATATAAAAATTGGCCAAGTACAAGTTGTAGTTAACAAGATATTCGAGATGCCTTTAGATTTCTTCTGCACTTATTTGTAAGGATAGTCTTAGATATTAAACAAATGTATTTTCTAAGAATAGTGATTTACAAATACAAAAACACAATTAAATATTATTACGTAGTACATAATGCTTTGACATCTGAAATAAAATTTTATATTAACTCAATAAACCTATGTAAAACAAAGTTAAAACATTCTTACGCTTACTATAGAGTTAATAAAAATTGGAAATTTAATATACTTACAATACTAGAATTATAATTTTAGAACCACCTTTCAAGAGGATATACGTAGAAAACTTTTACATTAAGGGTAAGGTTACAGAAAATGCACCATTCTGCAACTTTGCAGATCTGCAAATATGGCGGACTTACAGATGCAAGATACAAGAAAGGATGATACTGTACAGAGTCAACAATCCTTGACTTGCATCTGTAAGTCCGCCATATTTGCAGATCTGCAAAGTTGCAGTAAATTAATGTGTAAAGAATGCTGGTTACGAGACAATGGAATTTTTTCAGTGGTGGGCAATTGCATACATGGCACCTTTCTTGGTATTCTTCAAACATTCTTGACATTACATTACTGTCTATTATTTCGGTATTTAACTATAGTTCTGACTAAATAATATTTCATTATTGTTTTTATATTTTTATACTTTATACATGTATACTGTTTAATAAATTTTAAAACCTATTAATAGAATTTTTTCAACTTTAACCGCACTAGATTGTTTGGACTAAACTGGACTGGCCTAAATCACAAATCAACACCTTCGTACACATAAATGCAGGATGTAGAATTTAAATCATTTATAGAAGTTTTATTGTAATAAATTTGCGATAATCTTATTCCGACACCATAATTTGATTCTCCATACTTTCAATTTCAATTGTAATTTCACTATGAATATTATGATCGTGATGAGGTAAAGTATATTTGTAAGATTCTTTTTTATCCATTTAATAAGCCGTTTATTATGCTGAATTGAAATCTTGAGAAGCAAATAATATACAGTGAATTCATAAACCAAAAACAATTTCAAAAAAATTTAAAACGCTTTTATTTTTTCAGCAATTTACAAAAAAAATTTAATTCTTCAGAATTATCCACATTAATGTAAGGCCGTCATTGGCAGTTTTGTTAAATACAATACCTTGTATTTGGTAACATTTTTAGATTATTCTTTACGAGCTGATACTCTAATGGTCTAAAGTACTATAAAGAAGTGAATTTAAAAACTACGCGCTAGAGAAAAAAGGATTGCAGTATTTTAATTTGCATAACGAATTATGTAGACATTTAATTTATACCTCATCCTGCAATGCTTATTTGTAGTTAAAATAAAAATTGCTCGGCCTATCTGTATCTGTAACGTGTGGTCATTAAGTCCATTGTGCATCCTCCTGAGATGATAGGCACCTCCTAGCTCGTGAGCCAGCCTACAGATTTAATGTAGTTGACAACGTCTTCTCTTATATCGGCCGGCGTTATCCCATACTCGCCGAACACAAATCTTCTAGTAAATAAGAGCGTCGAGCAATCGTAAAGAGTATGCTCGATGGTCTTGTTCGCATCCTCTGCAGAGTGCGGATTCTTTTACCTCTCTCCATTTTTTGGGGATATACCTCAGAGCCAACGAGGATCTGAATATACCCACCAGGTGGGGTGTGAGTTCTTCCAGACCCCACTGAAGTAGGGCTGGATAGATACCATCAGGACCTGGCGATCTAAATGGAGAGAAGCTGGATATTGCCCATCTAATTTTTTCATCGTCTACAATGTGTTTGGTAGTTTACCAATCATAGCAATGGAAAAGTTAATAAACTCTGTAATAATAAACCTTAGAAAAGACAATGAAACTGATACCAATAGTTATAGTGAAGACAGTGACTTTTAAAGATAGTTCTTTATTAACCTTTGATTTTAGATTAAAAAATTTTATTAATTGGTTAAATTTAATTCGTTTAATATTAAAGCATAAGGTTTATTTTTATTTTTAGTAAATAATATAACTTTTTTTCATGCAAAATGTAATCTACGAAGTGGTTATATACCATTTTATATGCCGTGACTTTTAAATTAAGCCTAAGA